AACCTTCCTCCCATAAAAGCAGCATTTCCTATAGAGGAAGGACCAGGGTTATAGGGCAAGGCAATGGACTGAGGGGGGGTAATTTACGCTGGTTTTTCTCTATGAAGCCCCAGTGGGCTGTAGTGAAGCAGAAGCAGCATTTCTGCAGGATCTTCCTGGTGATGGGTGAAGCTTCAGCCAGAAGACTGAATTTCATTGTTGGATGTGTGAGAGGGGAAATGGTGCACAGGAGCTGGGAGAGGACTTTGTGTTTTATGGGCCTGGAGAGACTGATTTGGGAATTTTGCAACCAATTCAGGTGTCTGTGTTTAACAGAGGGTGGTGAAGAGCATTGAAAAGAGCTGCAGAAATGATGGAAGGGCTGGAGAAGCAGCCGTGGAGGGGGAGAACTTACAGAGCTCCATCTGTTTGTGTGATTAAAACAAGAGGTTGAGAGGTGACCCGACGACAGCATATAAATACCTGATGGAGGAGCAGGCTGGGTGCTGCAGGGCTTGTAGTCTAGCAGGGGGAAAACACAAATGGGAGGCTGGAAGTGAGGGCCAGACAGAGTCAAACTGGGAATAAATCACCTTCATTGTTAAAAAGAGAACAAAACCAGGTCTAATGTTTTGGAGCAAATCCAAAGGGAAGTGGTGTGCTGGTGTGCTTTTTTTTTTAATTTCTTTCTTTCTTTTTTCAGTTTTGGGGTCTTGAAACAAAACCTGGGGGCTTTGGTGGGAGATGTACATTGATGAAGGCAGCCAGCTGGTGCACAGTGCTGGATAAGATGCCCCATGTGGGCATTGCTGGGTTAAGGGCTGCAGGGACTCCCTGCCTTGCAGTGCCATTGGGAAGGTGTGATGCTGCAGCTCCCCGTGGTCGGAATGAGCCCCAGGCTCCATACAGGCCCACAGGGTTCCATTACCACAGGCACACGTGGAAAAACAGTCAGACACAGAAAGCTTTGTTTCACTCAGGCGGCCCCACCGAAGCCTGCCCTGCATCCCAGGCTCTAATGCGCTTTCAGCATTCAGTGACAAACCCCAGCCTTGGACTGAAAGGCAAAATGTGTGTCTGTGGCAGAAAGCTGCAGAGATAGAGAGTGTTACCAGTGCTTCAGGGTGGGTAAGAGCAGGAGATTTGCTGCAGGGATCTCGAAGAAAAGCCCTTTTTCAAAGGAGCTGCATAATCCCCGGTAGCTCAGCATCTCTCATTCGAGGACTTGCCTGCACGATCCGCCATCAAACAAGGGGAGGATTTGCTGCTCCCTTCTGTGGATGTGCAGTAGGGAAACTCTCCCACCCTGCTGTCAGTGATGCTCCGTGCTTCCCAACCAGTGCCAGGGCTGCTCCTCTCTGTGCCCCGCAGTGTGAATCAGGGCACACAGAGCAGCATGGGGAGGTGCTTCTGCACATCAGGAGTGCACATCCCTGGGCAGTGATGGGAAGAGCTGGAGCTGAGGGGGGATATTTGGGTGTGAGATGTGGTGTAGGCATGGGAACTCACAGTGCTTCCCACTATATGGGGCTGCACCACGGCAAGCATGGTCACCTCCATCCAGAGCTCTGAAAGTTTTCCTTCTCTGGGAGATTTTGGGTGGATTTGGAGGTGAAAGCACAAAATGAAGTGCCATGAGTTGCCCGTGGAACAGAAATTCCAGATTCTGAGCAATCTGAGTCAGCAGTACAGAGCTGTTCCAACCCAACCTCCCAGCGAGCAGCGAGAAATGTTTGTGGCATTCAAATTTATTCAGTCTTTTTCCACGTGTAAGACCATTTTTGATGTGAAAAGGAGCTTAGCTTCCCATGCGCGTGACCTTGATGTACCCAAAGTCAAGGCACTGTTTAAATGCATGCACAACTGGGACCCACAAGGACTGCTACCATATCCCACCCACTGTCACCAGCACCTCCTGCCTGCTCACTGCCTTTATTTCACATGAACACAGAGCTGTGCTGGCTCTGCTGGTGCCCAGGCTGGTGCTTGGCCGGGGGGGATGCAGTTAGCTGGGAAGTGGCAAGAGAGGTGCCAGCTGTGGGATAGAACAACGATGATGTTTGATTTCTGAAGCACGCAGGGAACACATGTGCTGTGTTGTTGTCTTGTTGCTAACATTAGGCTTGGTCATGAGAACAGAGGTATTTTTTGGAATGATTTTCTTCCCAACACCCATGCTGTTACATACAGCACCGTGCTGGCTGCAGCAGTGATGATAAAGCTTTTGCTTATGTTTTCAGCCAATTCCTGGTTCGGATCAGCATCCGAGCAGCTGCTTATTAACGCTGTGCTGTGATGCCCTCCTTCCAAAGGTTCTCGGGAACCTCATGTCCCTTCTTCAGATTGTTGGATGATTTAAAAGATGGTCAGTTTGCAGGTGGAATAATGAAACAGTTCACCCAGGAAGGGCAATGCTGCTGGCAGGATGGAGGGCAGGACGGGTCCTGCTTCTCCCTGCAGTGGCTGTGTGTATGCTGGGGAGCTGCCTGCCCAGGCAGCACTTGGGCCCAATGGGAGCAGTGCAGCACAATGCTGCTTTGGAAATGGAGTCAGCGGTGAAGTCTCGTTACTCCTGCATTGCAATTAATGATAATTTTAAAAGAGAGGTTTTGTATCTTGAGTTCTTGTGGGTATCAGAATTAACATCTCATTGAATTATCAAAGCTTTCCAGCTGTGGGTGGTGGGGAGAGGCTTGAGGCTTGCAAATAGGTCAGAGAACATCGGTTGTTAAATAGCTCCTGGAAACTTTCCAGCAGGGAAGGAAATCTTGCTGATGCGATGGAATAAGAACAACCCCGGGGGGATGCTGACACCCTCCCAACCTGAGCTCGGTCCCGAGGACGCACCGTTCTCACTTTCTGTTTGCAGACCGAACGCAAAAGGGAGGTTGTGCCCCACCTGAACGCCTCACCGGAGCACCGCTGTGTGTCGGGGAGCTCCATTGCGGTCTGCTTCGAACTCGGGGCTGCGTGCAGCGCTTGCAACCCTCATTGAAAGCACCAGGGGGAGCGGCGAGCTCTGCCGCCCGGCCCGGCCGGCCCTGGGGAGCGCCTCGGGCAGCGCAGCGCTGGTGGATCTCAGCGGGCGGTGGGAGCAGCGCCGGGGCTCTGAGCCACGAACAGCGCTGAGGCGTTTCCTTCTTGCAGCCCCTGATAGCATATAAGGGCTTCTCCTATACAGGAGAAGCGTTTTGGAGCGCAGATGAGCAGCGCTGTGCTGGGAGGTGGGAGCTGCAGAGCTGCGGTGCTGAGCTCAGAGGATGCTCTCAGACCTCGGGCACACAAAGCCATCGGTTTTGTCCCGAGGGAAACGGCACGGCATAGCTGCTGGGGGATAATAATTATATTATCAGGCCTGAAAAAAGCCCCATTCATTTCTGAAAAGGGAGTGGATATGGGGGAAGAACGGGGAATTACTGAGCAGCAATTCACCCCAGCAGCTGTGATGCCCTTGCAGACAAACCTGAAATGCGGTGTTAGGGAAAGACTCACAGCCTGGATCAGCAGTGAAGGTGGGGCTGCCTGATCCCAGGGGGGTGTTTGTCACCTCCTGTATGAAAGAGATGCGAGGCCAACACCTGTCTGTCACAAAGGGTGACGCACAGAGGGTGGTGACACACTGGAACAGGTTGCCCAAGGAGGTTATGGATGCCCCATCCCTGCAAGCATTCAAGGCCAGGCTGGATGTGGCTCTGGGCAGCCTGGTCTGCTGGTTGGAGATCCTGCACATAGCAGGGGGTTGGAACTGGATGATGATTGTAGTCCTTTTCAACCCAGGTCATTCTATGTTTCTGTTTACACCACATGAGGTGCCCCATGCATGGAGATGCCTGCAGCTGGAGGGCTGGAAGTGGGTGATCTCTGTACCTTCTGACCAACACCATTCCGTGACTCTACGATGCAAAGGATACTGAGGGATGCAGAGCAGTAGCTGCTCTTTGGTCCTGTCCAGCCCTGCAAGCCGTCACAGCACCATTAGCAGCCATGTGCAGTAGTGCTGATGACCACAGTCCTATTGCACAGCTCCAGTGGATCCGCACAGCACAGGGCTCACAGTGCCCCACGTTAATAATTAACATCTGTATCACCGCACTTCCATATTGGGGCAAAGTCACTCCTGGTGCACAGGGCTGGTGGGAGCGCAGGGATCCACGGCTTTGTCATCCCACAGCCGTCCCTGTGTGGGTGAGGAGCACAGGGAGCCGTGTGCAGGGTGGGAACATGGAACGGTGGGAGGGGGCCGCGGGGACAGCCTGCATCACTGCTGGGTGGGGTGGGATGGAGGAGGGTTCGTTTGAATGAAAGAGGTAAAAATATGAACAATAAGAGACATCTGTATGTGTAGATAAAAATAAATAACGTTGGAAACGTACGATAATGTAAAATGCTATAATGTGAAATGCGGAAGAGTGAAATATAGAAACCAGATCGATGATGAGAAAAGAAAATATAAAAACGCCAAATATAAAAAAAAAATTAAAAACGCCTAAAGATATAATTCTGTATTTATTCATTTAAAAAAAAAAAAGAGATACCTGTAAGTAGATAAAGCATAAAAACATAAAATATATTAAAAAAAGAAAAATACAAAGCACACAGCAGAGGTGTAACGCAGCATAATGAAGCCCAGCCGGCAGCGCGGGGAGGGCGGTGCTGCTGGGGGCGGGGCGCTCCGCACAATGCCGCACCGCCGAGGCCTCGCCGCTCGGCCCCGCCCCTCTTCCCGCCCCCTCCCGCCTTTCCGCCCTCGGATTGGCTGAGCGGCGCGGGGCGCGTCCCAAAGTTAGCGTCACGTGCGGCGGGCGCCGCGGTGATTGGCTGCGGCCGAGAGGGGCGGGGCGGGGCGGGCGCGGCGCTGTCAGCGGGGCCGGGGCGCGCCGGGTGCCGCCTGCGGGCGCTGGGCAGCGGCGCGGCATGGCCGGCTGAGGCGGGCGGGAGGCGCCGCCGCCGCCCGGCGAGCGAGCCGCCGAACGAGGGAGCGACGGGACGGAGGAGTGAATGGCGGAGCGCCGCGCCGCACCATGAGGCGCCGGGCTCGGACCGCGCCCGGGCTCGCCCTGTTCTGTCTCGCCGCCCTGCTGGCCGCCGCCGCCGGGCTGCCCCCTCCCGGCTCCGCGCCGCCCCCCGAGCCCGGCAGCGGCAGCGGCGGCCCCGCCGACAGCAGCCCGGCGCCCACCGCGCGGCCCCGCGGCCCCACGGCCCGGCCCGGCCCCGCACCGCCGCCGTCCCCGGAGCCGCCCCGGGAGGAAGCGGAGGAGGAGGAGGAGGAGGAGGAGGCGGCGGCCGCGGGCCCCGCAGGTGAGCGAGGTGCCGGGGTCCCTTTGTGCCCGGCGGGCGGGGAGCGGGGCCGGAGCGCTGCTTCCTTCCTTTGCTTGCTTTATTTCTGTAACGGTGGTAATTTTTGCTCCTTGCCCGGGTTGCTGAGAGCCGGCCGTGGCGGAGCGCCCGTTCTGCGCTGCTGCGGAGCCCCGCGGCTGAACGACGGCACCGACCGGCGCTCCTGGCGTTACGGCTGCGGCTGCTCCCGAGTGCGGCCCTCAGTGCTTTTCTTTTTTTGTATCTCGGTTCGGGTCTTTATTTTCTCCAGGAGATAGAACGGGTGGAGATGGGGAGCTGCTGACAGCGGGAGGAGGGCTTGCGGTCCCTGGGAGCAAAACCCCGCCGTGCTGCCACGTCTGAGGTGGGACCAGCAGGAGCCCAGCAGGCTGCCGGCCCAACCTGCCCGCTGCTCTGCCTTCCTCGGGCCGGTTCCTCCCCCAGCATCGCTCTGTGGGGATGGGCACGGAGGTGGCACTGGGATGCTCGTGCTGTGCCCGTGTGTTGGTGGCAGCAGACACTGATCTCTTGCTCTCTGCCCCTTATTGCGTGTGGAGTGGGAGCACGTGGCCCTTTAATGCCTTACTAAAGAGTCAGTTTGTAGGGCTCATTGTGGTTCATTAGCTGTTGGCCTTCCTGGGGGCTGTGATGTGCTGGGGCTGTTTTGGGGGCCTGGAGGTGTGGGGCTGCTCCCTGGGCTCAGCCATGCCCAATGGCACCTGCTGGAGGGTTTCCCAGCTCACATGGAGCTGAAGGGTTGGTGGAGGCAATGGGATCCATGGGGTCAGCTGCTGGTTTTCTTGGCTTTAATGCCTTCAGTGCTGCTTCCTCAGCCCCGAATAGGGAATTAATGTTTTATGAAACAAGCGGGCCTCTTCTCACAGGCATCAGAAGGAATTCCTTTAATGCTGATAGCATTATTCCTGATAAGGAATTGGTGCGTGAGTCCTCTCAACGCTACCAAGACTGAAATCCTGACTTCAGTGTGTTGTTCTCATTTTGATTTTAGAAGCCCTTCAGCCCCTTGCTTGGTTTGTTCTTCTTCTCCCCTTCCCAGTTTCGCAGTGTTTATTTTTCTTTCCAATCCTGTTAAAATCCCGGATTTTCTTTTTAAGGGAAACAAATTGCTAATCCTCCTGTTTGTGGAGATGGGCTTAGCATCGTGCCCTGCCTTATCCACACAGCACCCTGTGCTCTCTGTGTGCTCGGGGTTGGGGTGGCCTCACGCTGCAGGGATTTCTTGGCTGGGTGCATGCAGTCAGCACAGCCCTGCTTGGGCTGCTCCTGCATGGAGAACAAAACCCCTCTGTCTGTTCCTTCCTGCAGGGTGCTTTGTGCATGAGGGTCTCTGGGAAAGCAGCACTTGGAGCACTGAAGGGTGCAGGTGTCTTGCATCCCGTTGGGGTGCAATGAGTTGGGGTGCTGGTGAGGTTTGCTGGCTGCAGCTCACAGCTGGGATGCTCTCAGCACAGCTGGGGAAGGTGCAGCTGCATTGCATGGGGGGATTCTAGCCCATGGGCTTAGATTAGAAACAGCACCAGCAGATCTGGTGCTAGAGGTGGCATGGGGTGACCTGGCCAAATGGGTGGGCATGGCCACCAGCATAAAGTAAGCTTCTTTGCTTCAAGGCTAGATGCACACATGGGGTCCCTGCACCCTATGGGCAAGAAGAGGTTTTATGGGGTCCTCTGCAGTCCCAATGGTGATTTTGTAGGGGAAAGGGCTTTGCTTCAGGCTCCAAGGCCATGAACAAGCAGACCCATTGCTGCTGCACTAGGGCTGTGCTCTGTAGGAGGCTGCAGCTCCCGGATCCCAGTGGGACAGGAGCTCCCTGGTTTGAGGTTTGGACGTGGCTCAGTTACTGGGGCAGCTCAGCTTCTGGATGGCACATTCTGATTTTAATTAAGGACATGAAAATCAAGTTACAGACGTGAAGGCTCATGGTAAGGAGGATGCTTATGTTACTTGGGTTGAGTAGGGGAGCAGCCAGGGCAGAGCCTAACTTCAACTGAGGAATGCATTGTAGGGTTTTATCTTGAGCTTACAATGCAGGGATGTTGCCTGTGGCTCACTTGCCTTCCTCCTGCCTCCGTGCTGCCGTGCCTGAGTCACTCTTGAATCAGATGCTGCCAATGGTCCTGACTCAAGGTTTTTGAGATTTTTGGGCTTAGCAGTGCTTATAAAAATTGGGGTGTTTTGAGAAGACCTACGGAGTACCCAACGTCTCGTTCATTAGCTTTCTTGTGCAGTGCTAGGATTTGCCTTTTTTCCTTTGGGACAAACGCTGCACTGCTGAGCTGCCAGGTGGGAAACACTGAGCGTGAGGTGGGAGATCTGCAGTGGGACTGTGCTGCAGCGAGCTGCTTACCGTGATGGCAGGCTCATGCTGGGGGCATCCAGGGGCCATCCCAAGGAGCTGCGGGCAGAGGAGCACAGAAGGACCTGTCCCTGAGGAACGGAGGCACGCCAGCCTGCTGAAGTCAGGGGAGAAATTTCAGAGTGTTTTGCTCTATAAATACCCGGGATAAGTCATCGTGCTGCTTCTAATATTTGCAGCCGATGCCAGCGGGCTGGCAGGGAGTGCTGCTGCAGCTCCTGGTGCTCCTGAGAGCAGAGATGGGCTGTGTGAGGCATCTGCTGGCACTGGGGCTGAAGCTGTGCCTGTACTGGGAGCGGAGCGGGGATTTCTCCTGCAGCCATCTGGCCAGAACAACTCCTTCTGCTGTACCTCTGACAAGTGCTTAAAATAAACCCCAAACTGCCGGGATGCTGAAGCGTTGTGCAGCACCCAGGCTGCAGCTGAGGCTTCTCAATGAGGTTGCAGCAAGGACCTGAGCTCTTTTTGGGGACTGCATGCGTTGGGCTCTGTGGGGCTGCCTTGTGTAGGGGGGCAGGTGGGGCCAGGGCTTGGAACTGGTGCTGGGTGGTTGGTAGGATGTTAACATGGTGTACAGCCTGGGGGGAGGATTGCAGCCTTGCCATCTGCCCTGCCTTGCGAGCTCACGTGGCTTTGTACCACCCCAGGAGAACCCCACCTGCAGACTCGTTAAACTGCCTGCAATCCCAAGGTTTGTGCTTTGCAGGAAATTATCTGCTTTTTTTCTTTTTTCCCCCCACATTTAATTTGACTTTCAGTTGGTTCAGACTGAAATAACGTGGCTGCATGCTGGTTATTGCAGTGCTTTGGCTGTGTTTCCATGAAGCCCAAGGGCCCTGCACCGTGGTGCTGCCCTGTGGGCAACGTCCGTTTGGTCCATCCCCAGCATGGGCTCTGGGGGAAGGCTGCTGGAGGAAACACACACACAGTCAGCAGGGCTTGTATGGAGGGGTCTCAGTTTGGTTAAACCTGTCAATCTGGAAGCATTTTGAACGAGGCATTCTGGATGAAGAATAATCAAATCCCTCTGTTAGGGCAGAACGTTTTTTCCTTATTCAATAGGAAATTTCCCATCAGTGATGATCAGGCCCCCTGCCTGCTCTCAGGGATGCATGGGGACTCATGGGGATGCATCTGCCTCCATCCCCCTGCAGATTGGTGGCTGGTGATGCTGGTCCAGGTCCTACAGTGAGAGCAGAGCCAGCACTGCTGCTTGTCCCTGTGCACAAGGGCTCCAGGTCCCAAGGGTTGCTCAGGTCGTGTGCAGAGCATCACTATCAGAGCAGGCTTTGGAGCACTCATCCATGGAAAAAGGGTGGATTTGGGGTCTTTTCTTGCCTTGCCTGCGTGGATCCTGTATCCAAGCAGGTGTCAGTGAGGAGCTCCCAGAGCTGCACGGATTCCTGCTAAGTCTCAGTGCGGTCTTCTGCTGCTTGAAGGAGGATTTGCTGAGCACCTGCTGTATGAATTAAAATTTGCCTTGTAAATGTAACCAATTCAGAGCCTCAGTGGGAAGGGCGGATGTTCGCTCTTTGCCTGGATAAGGAAAAAAAGTGAAACCTCCGAGGTTTTCCTCTTAATGCAGACCAGCCTTGAAACCAGGGAGAAGCCCGAGCTGCTCTTTTTACCATTTTTAATTCACTCGCCCCACGTCCTTATAAATAAGCCAGCAGAAACATGACAAGGCAAGCATCCCTGCTATTTATAGCTTGGGCTGCTCCGCACGCCTGCTTTAAAAATCAGCCGGCTAAATGGCTCTGCAGCCTTTCAGCAAAAGACTTAATGACACAGGCATTCTGCATGCAGTGATGGATGCCTGCACTTCAAACCCTGCTGTGTGGTGGGGTCTGTCCCCTCGATTGGGGGCAACCCCATGTCCTGACCCTCCATCCCTGCTGTGGCCATCACTGCCCCGTCCCAAAACAGCACTGGGGTGCTCCTGGTTGGGTTGGTGCTCCCTCTGCTGCTTGGGTGTTCACCTCCAGGCAGATTCACATCGACATCCCCCAAGTTTGATTTTTATTTTTATTTTTCCCCTCTTTTGTTTCATTTTGGGGTTATGTTAACCCTTTGCTTTGGCTCTGTGGCATCACCTGTGTAATTAAGGCTTTTGGGAAGCCCTCACCCGTTTAACTGGTCGTGCCACTTCTCAGATGGATCTGCTTTATTCCTGGCAAATTACCCTGCTGCACTTTTCAGGCAGCTTTACTGTATTTTGACTGACTGGCTGCCTATATTAACTGATAGTGCTGCTTGGGCTGCTTTGATCCCGTATTATTTATGGAAATGATGGCACATAACTCCGCGTAGCTGATTAATGCTGCATGTATTTTTAATGCACGAGTTCTGCTGTTTGATCTGTGCTAAATGATAATTCTCTGATGTGTTCCTGGGTTCATTTCGGCTGCTTATGAAAAGGATATTGAAATGGACTGTTTGTTTTGTTGCTTTTTTTTTTTTTTTTTCTTTTTTCCCCCCAGTGGTTCTCCAGCTCTCGCACTGCTTTCCCCAAGCGCCGCTCTGCTGTTAGCACGTGGAGCGCTTCTGTTTTAGCACCATTTGAGTGCTTCCTTGGTGGCACTGCTGCGGATCTGTGGCCGTGTTT